ATCCAGCAGCCTATGTCTCAATCTAAGAGAGATCCAGCCGTCTATGTCTCACTCTAAGAGAGATCCAACCGTCTATGTCTCACTCTAAGAGAAATCCAGCAGTCTATGTCTCACTCTAAGAGAGATCCAGCCGTCTATGTCTCACTCTAAGAGAGATCCAACCGTCTATGTCTCACTCTTACAGAAATCCAGCCGTCTATGTCTCACTCTAAGAGAGATCCACAGATCAGAAGAGTTCTAGATCTAGTAAGCAGATGACGGTGATGGGGTGTGCTCAGTTGTAGCAACGACAGACGCCAACACACACTGTACACATTCGGAGCTCACTCTTAGCACCTTCTAAGCACACACTTGGAGCTCACTCTTAGCACCTTCTAAGAACACACTTTGAGCTCACTCTTAGCACTTTCTAAGCACACACTTCGAGTACACTCTTGACACCTTCTAAGCACACACTTTGCGCACACACTTTGAGCACACTCTTAGCACCTTCTCAGCACACACTTTGAGCACACTCTTAGCACCTTCTAAGCACACACTTTGAGCACACTCTTTGAGCAGGCAACACACTGAGAGAACAATGGCCTATGTGTACGACCGCGTCCTCTCAGTTAGTCATTAATAACTTCACACGTACACACACACACGTACACACACGCACTACACACACGCGTACACACACACGCGACTGGCAGAGGCGACAACACGAGCCGCGGAGATGAGACGAGTGTGTGCCAGATGGTGTGTCTGTTGACAGCCCGTCCTGTTGTCTCACCAACTGGCGCGTGCAATCATTGATGACACACATGACACACACACGACACACACATGACACACAACACACATGACACAGCTCAGGGCTCGCTCGGACTCCTAGATCTTATGGCGGTAATAATAGATAATAATAATAGATGACATTTATACAGCGCTCAACCCCGATTAAAGTACACAGGCTCTGAGAGCTTTACAATACAGTACAACATACAACAGTAACATAAAACGTTGTGTTCGGACCAAAAGAAAATCACCCCAAATATCCATCTTCTTAATTTAAAAACAGAAACGACTTCAGCTGACATTTGAATGAATCAAAAGATTTGACCTCTCTTAGACTACTTGGCAAAGCATTCCAGATCTTGGGGCCTTGGTATTCAAATGACCTTTCACCCTTTGTTTTAAGTTTCATAGACAGTAAAAGAACTTTCTATTTGTCAGCTGATGACCTTAGACTGCGAGTTGGAATGTACAGTCTCAACAGATTT